GAGAGAGGGAGAGATAGAATTAGTGAGGGAGTGATACAAGTCATGTAAACCCACTCTGCCGTCCATGTTGTCCCTACAGTGTAGCGGAGGAGAGACAAACTGGCGCCACGACCATTGTTTGTGTGAGTGTGTGTGAGAGTGAATGAGGGTAAGTGAGTTAGTGCCTGAATGAGTGAGTGTGTGTGTGTGTGTGAGAGAGAGTGTGAGTGTGTGTGTATGTATGTGTGAGAGAGTGTGAGTGTGTGTGTGTGTGTGTAATAGTGAATGAGAGTAAGTTAGTTAGTGACTGAATGAGTGAGTGAGTGAGTGAGAGTGAATGAATGAGAGTAAGTGAGTTAGTGACTGAATGAGTGAGTGAGTGAGTGAGTGAGAGTGAATGAGAGTAAGTGAGTGAGTGCCTGAATGAGTGAGTGTGATATAATGTAAATGTAAATACACGTTGTTGTCCATGTTGTCCCTACAGTGTAGCTGAAGAGAGGCAAACCGGCGACACGACCGGTACCATCGACAACTGGCTAAAGAGTCGCTTGTACGACAGATTCCTCAGACCCAACTTCGGCCGTAAGTAAAGCCTATTCTTGCATGAAAGTTCATCTGAGTTGGTAAAATACATGAAGAAAAGTAAACTGTTCTCCAAGTCAACAACGAAATTAACTCATCAAAAATTTTCGTCTTGGGTGGGGTCGTGTGGCGTAGCGGCAGACTGCGCGACTTGGAACCAAGAGGTCCCGGGTTCGAGTCCTGACATGCCACCGATCTTGTGCCCTTGGGAAAGGCACTTTACACGACTTTCCTCACTTCGCTCAGGTGTAAATGAGTATTGTCCTGTCATGTATCTGTCCCCCGTGTTGGTGGCGGCATTAATATAAGTTGATAAAACTTAAGTGTGCCGTCAACACGTCTGGTGATTACATGTTGGAATTAAAAAAAAATCGTCTTCATCAGCTTTATGACCCAAGTACTGTGGACACGTGACCTTTAGCCACGTGTGACGTCAGCACTGGGACAAAGTTCGTTGGAAGTCGGTACCGCCCCCCGTCACGGTTGAGCGAAGGTTTGTGTCCACAGCACCTGGGTCATAAAGCCGATGAAGACTGAGTGATTCAGTCGAAAATCTCCGGTGAGTTAATTTCGTTGGTGAGTTGGAGAACAATTTAATTTTCTTCAAAGCCTATAGTTGATGATAGCCTAAATTCGATGATAACTACTTAGTACAACTCAGTAGGTATTCAACTGAATAGTTTTGACAATGTAAATATTGTAAACGAACGGCGATCAGTCCAGGTTGCTTTTAGATAGCTTGTTTGTGTAGGGACACAGATGCTGGGCGGGCGTAGGTCCGGATGCAGGTCGTATAATAAGAAGTTTATTGCAAATTCGTGCCCGGGGGCTAATTGCAAATTACAAACATAAAAGAACAATGAAACAGGGTATAAAATAACTAAAATCTACATGATGAAAGGTAGTTGTCTAAAGCTATAGCTATGTCTAAAACTATGTCTAAGGGGTTTGACTTCTCTTATTTAGACCATTGAAGACGTAATGTCCCACCTTTTTCCAAAATAAGAAGAATGTCTTTTTTTCTTGGTCTGTAAGTTTAGTAAAATTGGGGTAAATTGTAGAAGTTTGAATAATGTGGAGTTAGGATGTACCTTGCTACTAAAACACCATAAAGACAACCATGCATTGTATGGTTACAACGCATCTGAGAGCAACAGGCGCAAATTGAATAAACTTGTGCACAAAGGGATTTAGGCACTTCACTCCAAAATGACCATCATCATGATCGTTGGCATTGAAGAATAACCAAACATCACGAATAGCAACCTTGAGTAGCAAAGAAAAAGTTAGACGTTCCTAGAAATAAAGACGTTTTGCTGCTCTGCCGATTTCACCAGGGCTCATGTTAGGATGAAAAATGTTCTGAACTTCAATCTTTTTTTTTTCAATCACTTCTAGATAAATAACGCGATGGCCATGATGTTTGATATCTTCCAAGTGGCTGTTAGCTTGGTAGCGTGGAAGCAATCAGGAGTATTGCAGCCTGGGGCGTAAATCTGTGTCGCTGTGAGAAGTTTTTACAACTGAGTGGTGTGAAATCAAGTCTTTCTGAACTGGCGTCAAAATAATTCCTTCCGGACTGTGGTTGATATTAGTTTTACAAGAGAAAACACATCTGGGTAAGATAGCGCCTCTCTCTGCTCATCTTTTTGTTTGTTAAGTAGAATATGAGGTCATCAACGCGAGCCCCCAATTTTACTGCATCTAAGTGGAACAAATGGGATAGTGCTCGCCGGCGCCGGAATCCGCGGGTGAAATATAAAGGTGACTGTAGGAGAGAGGATGGGTCAGTATGTTAAACAGACCCTCAGGACTTTACCGGTACAGTTCTGGCGTTCACAGGTTCGTTTCAAGTTATTATTCGCAATCAGATTTTCCACGAAAGTCGCAATGCCTCTTAGTTCCGAAATTGGCAAACTTTTCCAGTGGAGATGACATAGGTGCATTTGAGGTGTGGGTGTGGGTGGGGGTTGTGGGTGACCAATCCTTTTAAAATATTTAATGGCAGCTTCTGAAGAACGGGCGTGCGTTAATTTGCAATAAATTCAACACAGACAGAGACAAAGCACTCCATAACAGTCCCTTTGCAGATTCTCTGACATGCAAGCGAGGAAAAAATCTCAATATTTAATTTGCCGACTTTCGAAACTCTTTAAAAACCGTAAAACCATTTCTTACAACATGTCACATATCTTAGGGATGAACAATTAGCTATTCGCATGGTCGTATATTCCTAGCCTTTGGGCCACACAATTATGCAATAACTACAGCTAGTCCGCTGGTACCAGTGTGTCCCATACGTTTTTTTCAAATGCTAAGTGCTAAGGCTACTCGGCCGGGGATCGAACTCACGACCTACCTAATGCAGGGTTATTGGTTCATTATGTACAGATTTGTTTATTTTATTATTATGTACAGATTTGTTCACTTTGTTCAAGATTATTGTATATACCTTTATTTGTGTTCATATTTTGTTTGAATTCTGTTATCTGTACCTTTGATTCTCTTTTGTTATGTATAATTTATTGAAACGGTGTCGTATAAGCCCACACGGGCTGGGCGCGGGAAAGCACATGACACGAAAATAAAGTTTCATTCATTCATTCATGCATTCATTCTTTCATTCATTCATTCACTCTACCCACTTGGCCATTGCACGGGACGCTAACATTGCAGGTTCCTACTGTAGGGATAAGTAATGGATTGTCGCCTCCACCTCTGCACACCATCCATGAACGCCCAGATGCAGCCACAGATAACGCGGGAAGACTTGGCGGAGGCAATTGGGGGATTAGAGATTGGAGGGTCTGTTTTACTTGATAAAAGCTGCCGATCGATGGACCTCCGTTCTTCAGTAGTTCTCAGCAGCGATTGGATTACAGGATTGAACTTCGGGAAACTCGGTTTGTAGATTTACAATAGAAGTTTCAGTTGTGATGTAAAAGAAGTTAGGATTCAGATGTGTAAATTCTCTGCCAGAGAAAATCCACTTATTTACGTATTCATTGATATCTTAATTAGTTTACTTTTATATCAATGGTTTATTTGCATTAAAACACAACAACACTGTCCCAAAAATGGCAGCCAGAGGCTGAATTGACATTGGGGCATCACATTATTAGTATAAAACGTCATATTAAGTGATTAAAATAGAAATAAACCATTACATAAAATGTATATAAGATATTGTCAACAACGTTTCAAGTGCAAATTAATATCGTAGCAGATAACAAAACAGACGGACACTGGTAACACTAAAATAAGTCTTAGGTTAAAAAAAGTGACAGTGTTACATATTGAGCAGGCGGATCATGAAAGGAAGGGCACTATTCTGATAACGATCAGTTCTGCTGCGAGGAGTGTTCAGTTTATAAGCTGATCTGGTTTGACGACCACTTATTGCACTTCTAACAGGTGGCAGAAAATGCCGGAACTGTTCAGACTGTCTAAGAGAGTTCGCAAAGTTCACAGTCAGGAGAAGGCGTCGTGACTGTAGGGTAGGTAGTCCCAGGTAGGAGCAGCCTTCAGTGTAGGATGTGTACTTCGTACCCATAATGATGCGCACTGCTCTCCGTTGGATCTTCTCAATCTTGTTGCTGAGTTCAGTGGTAAGTCCAGAATGCCAGACGGGGGCAGCGTACTCGAGAACTGGGCGTATATAGGACTCATAGACTGTGACGAGGTCTTGAGGAGATGTGAAAGTGTTTCAGTTTGCGGAGAAGGAACAAGCGCTGGCTGGATTTGCAGCAAATGGAGTCAACGTGAGAGCTCCACCGCAAGTTGGCCTGGAGAAACACGCCCAAGATCTTCATTCCCTGCACCTGTTGCAGTTCGATACCGTTCACTGAGAGGGGAGGAGCCACGTACGGTACCTTGCTGAAGAGAATGTGTAACACTTTACATTTTGCGGGATGGAGTCTCATGTGACTGTCGTTGGACCAGTTCTCCAGGTCGGTCAGATCCTTCTGAATGTTAGAGGGTGCAGAGATCGGGTGCCCGACTTCAAGAAGGTTCAGGTCATCAACGAACTTCCAACGCTTACAGACTGCGTGACGAGCAGCACCGTTGATATAAGCGATGAATATCAACGGGCCAAGTAGGGTACCCTGAGGAAGGCCGCACGTAACGGTGACGCTGTCAGAGAGTGTTCCATGGTACCGGACCGACTGACGCCTGTTCGACAGAAAGTTCGCAATCCACCTCGCAAGGGAGGGTCTCAGGCCTAGATCTAACAAACGACGAATGGCGGTGGTATGACAAACCCGATTAAAGGCTTTGCTGTAGTCTGTAGCGACCAGTGAGCAGATAGTACCTGAATTGTCAGTGACTTTGAAAATCTCGTTGGTTAACTCCAGTAAGCAGTGAGTAGTGGATCTCCCCTTGAGGCAGCCGTACTGTTGGGTGTCAATTTGTGAGCGAATGTCCGACATTTTACTAATGGAAAATCATCCTGACAACGATGATGTGAACATAGTCGATGTCGGCCCCCGTCGCGGTTAAGTGAAGGGTGATTGGCCCTGATGTGAAAAGCCTCCTTCACCCCTCTCAGACAGGCCTCACTGAGTCAGTCTACTGAGACCAGAGTGACTGTTCGAAAGCTCTAGATGAGAGAACTTTTTTGTGTTGGATTGAAAGCTTTAACTTTAAACATGTAATTACCAACACAGATGAACTTTCATGATAGTACATACTTATATGTTTGTATTTTCTATATTTGCAGGCGAACCGGTCCACGTGAACCTGAGTCTGACTGTGGCCAGCATCGACCTCATCTCAGAAGTGAACATGGTGAGTCAGACAGCATCGCGCATGCTCAGTGTTCACTACCCCTGTACCGGTGAGTCAGCATCGAATTGCTGCCCTTGTGGTTTTACTGTGAAATAGATGTATTCCTTTCTTATTACACTCGCCCGGAGATCCATTGTTAGAACATGTAAATGATAAGGTAATAGTACCAGAGCCTCGGATGGCTTTCACCACTAACCCAGGTATAACCCAGTGGACCTCGGTATGGGTTTGGGGCCATTAAACGTCTCTAAAGAGCTACAAACTTTGGACTTGGACGTGGACAAACTTTGCCGCCTTGTATCGATCCCGCTCCTGGCGGTTTGTCGAAGTTCCGGTCCCCAAACCTGCAGCTGTGATCGATCATCAATCCTCAGCACACGTCATTTGGCGCGTTGCCAAGGGTGGTGCGCGTTGGCATTTCACCGCAATATCGTTCAGCTATGGTCATTGATGGAACACATGATTACGTCTCATTCCGGGTATGTTACAAGAAAAACGGTTTGTGATCAATGAAGGCGTGTCTGCTTGGTTAATGCCCATACTTGAATCAGGGCTTTGTGGTGTATTTCTACAGTAATCTCGCATAGACAGTGGGCCTTAGTTCCTCCTGTGCCTGATGGCACCTCGGGCAGCAAGCTTCCACTTCCTTTTGTCAACCGCTACTGAAGTTGAAGTAGTTGAGGCTGTTTTTGTTACAGAAAGATGTTCCCCGTTGTGACACCACCAAATCCTAGTCTGTTGTTGTCAATTTGGGCATTAAGTTAAAATATCCTATTAATATCTTCACATCATGGTTGGGAATGTTTTCAATGGTATCCTGTAGCTATCCTTGCATGCATGTCGCTTATTCCAAACCTATTCCAGCCGTCTGAGCCTGTCCCACGCCGGGGGAACAGTCAGAAACTCCGTCTCTCCGCTGGAGACTTGTTAGTCATTCCCAACAGCCGGCTGTAAATGTGTTTACTTTCCTCGCAACGGGCAATTAGGATGATGGATGGAGCGGTTCTATACAACAAGGAGCAACTTAGTTTTTGTCCGTGAATCGGAGTGAGACTAAATTGTCGGTCTTACGAGATGTTTCAGGCTACCATTAATTCACAATAAAACACTGATGACTTCTTTGTTTAATAGAACTTTGGATGAGAGCAGCACAGGGACATAAGGAATGGCACCAACGCAGACGTGGATTAGAATCTGGTGTTAGGAAAACTTTCCTCGCAGTTCCGTTATGTAATCAGTCTTGGTACTGAACAACTGAACAACTTGGTACTGAACTTGGTACTGAACAACTACTTTATCTCGTATGTATACTGGATATCTTTTAAAAAGTATTTATCGCAATCTTGCGGCTTTGCGGACATGGTTTACATCAAACCACGTCATCAACGTGGATTAAAGTCTCAATTATGATGTAAAGCTGACAAATCCATCCTTGCGTGAGCAACAGATGCATGTTTGTGTCTTGCTGGAGCAAATCGCTGATGCTACATTGTGATTATGGATGACGTTTGTATAACCCTTTCTTTGAAGTGCTTCTGAAATTCATTACAACCAATTTATTTTATTTTTCTAGAGACATACAAAATGAAAATTGAGATCTCAATGAAGAAATATACACTGCAGATGATGAAGAAGATGCGTTGATTAGTCTTTGGATTCATTTGGCATTTATTTGATTTATTATATTAACATTTGCAGTGCCAGTAACGTTACTGTTACATTAGTAAATACAGTTGCCATGCTGGACGTAAATAACGCATACTTGCTGACTTCAAACATCACACATACATGTAGCCTCTGCAGTTGCGGTTACAGAACGCTACAATCCGCTGATGCATCGCCAATTTTCGGCCCCATTTGGCAACAAGGTCGCGCCCTGGTGATGGTACAGGCGTTACTGACCAACCGTCACCGTTTGATTCCCATCTGATGTTTAGACGTCAGAGCCCGGGTCACGAAAGTCAAGGTTACTAACTGCCGCAGAACTCCGCATGATTTTCCTATGATGTACTGGTTTCGGTCTGTTTATTTATTTATTTATTTATTTATTTATTGATTGATTGATTGATTGAACTGGTTTAGAAGTCAGAGCCAGGTTCACGTATGTGAAACTTACTGACTGCCGCAGATTTCCGCATGATTGTTTCAATGATTTACTGTTTTCGGTTTGTTTGGGAATACTAAGGGACATATGTTCAGCCATGGTACTTAATAAAGTTGCCGTGCGTGATACATCTATGCATCGGTGACCAATCTATCAACCAATTCACTGCATTGCCCCGTGAGTCAACTTTGTGATGATAAATGTTGCATAGAGAATTTGGCGGCCTCTTCACCAAGAAATGAAACTCTGGTTTGATTTTTGACGGCTGTACTTTTGACATAATAAAGAGCTTTTTGAAATTACATTCCGCCAATATCGCAGACGGAATTGATTCAGTTTATCACCAGTCAAAGTAGAAGCCGTCGATGCGTTAACCATATTAATGACAAAACACATGCTATAAGATCACTGGCCATGGTTTAAAGCTAACATATATGAAGATATTAAGTGTACTCAATCTTCCTACTTGATCTCTAGAAAATTGAAACAATGATAATAAAATTAAACTGCTTTGGCGTATATTTTCATATAAAATGTCAGAAACACCTGTTTCGCCATGCCATCCATAGTGCATATTGTACGTGGTAAAAATTAATAAATAAATAAAAAAAAATTCAAGCTGATGGCTTTTTCTTTATTTAGTAATTATAAAGCTTTAAAAAGATCCAGTGCCTCATGACAGAGTACAAGTACAACAAAGACTTACATATACTGATAAAATGTCTACCTTAACATATGATTGTTTTACACTTTACATTTTCCTCTTTGCTGATCTGTCAATATTTCCAATCAGTGCTAATTACTTGCACTTCCAAACATTCAATCGGCAAATCTACCAAATTCCTTCTCTATTTCCATTACTGCCTGGAGCATTTTATTTTACATCTATTCTCATGTAAGAGGGTCTGCATGGGGGGTCCTGGCAACGGTTAACGGTAAATTCAGCAGGGCCGATAACGCTTAACGGTAAATTGACAGGCTTTTTTTCGAGCTGCACTGGATTAGGTATCTCGCTTTGTGAGAAAAGGTGATCACTGACAAAATTACGTATACCTTACATGTAATGAAGCATGCATTAAAGGTATGTGTTCCCTGTGTTTCCCACCTGCCCTGGTCTCCGAGTGCGTCCACAAATAAAGGGGAGTCCGAGTCGACGTCGGTCAGCTGCTGCTTGTATTTTTTCAGTCTGCCCAGTTTTACCGATGGATTAATCTAGGGGGGAAATTTAGGATTTTTAAGCCTTCAAAAACGCAATTTCCCGCATTTTGCGAGGCAAGTCATGTTGTTGAGAGTGTTTGTCGGTCCTTCTGATGTTTTCATATTTTACTCAAGATTTTTGTTAATTTGCCTGTCAAGGTTGACGGATTCGTTAAAAAAATTCTGTAACTCTCCGCAAACTTTCGGAAATTGACGGGAAAGCTGGTTCTGGCTAGAGCTGAAGGGACCGAGCGCAGAAGCGCGAGTCGAGCGCCAAAGGCGCGAGCAATGTAGGGGGGTCCGGGGGCATTCTCCCCCGGGAAATTTTGTATTTTTAAACCTTCAATGTCGCATTTTCCTGCACTTTGAAAGGCAAAATTAGGCGTAACGAAGAATTATTCATTAACGCTTAACGCTGAATTTAGGATGACAAATAACGCTTTACGTTGAATTAAAACGACCAATAACGCTTCAAGAGGAATATACTGATAACGCTTAAAGTTGAATTAGAGCAGGCCGGCAACGATTAACGGTAAATTAAAATAGCCCATAACGGTTAACGAAAAAGGGCATGCAGACCCTCATGTAAGTCCTCCTCAGCGGCCTGATTCCATCCCAATCCACTTACACGTCACCCTGAGCCCCATGCACATGAACATCCGGTTAGGAGGATGCTACACGTCACCCTGAGCCCCATGCACATGTGCATCCGTTTAGGAGGATGCTACACGTCACCCTGAGCCCCATGCACATGTGCATCCGGTTAGGAGGATGCTACACGCCGTCCCTGAGCGCATCTGGTGCGGAGGATGAAAGGGCCACCTGACCTCAGGTACACCCCAACATCACGCAGCGGCAACTTTGTAAGCCGCGGACCGAGTGGTGTACTCAGTGGCCGTGGCCTCCTGTAGCCTCCTGCGGATGTGGGGATGGGGAGTGGTGTACTCCGTGGCCATGGCCCCTGTAGCCCCCTGCAGCTGCAGATGAGGTTGGAAATGGTGAGAGCCAGGATTGCTGGGCATTTGAAACCGATTTGATTGCCTGCTAATAAAGAATAAACTATCTCTTTGGTCTATTCTAGCTGAGTGTAAATCATTCTTTATTCAGTGAACAAGAAATATACAAGAACTCCAGGTCATGCCAGTAATGACCGAGCAGAGTTGTACATCTGGTCAGGAGCATGCTACACGTCGTCCCTGAGCGCATCTGGTGCGGAGGATGAAAGGGCCGCCTGACCTCAGGTACACCCCGACATCACGCAGCGGCAATTTTGGACGCCCCGGACCGAGTGGTGTACTCTGTGGCCATGGCCTCTGTAGCCCCCTGCAGCTGTGGAGATGTACATAGCGACATTGCCCCCTGCAACGGCGGGAATGGTGTACTCCATACAGCGGCATTTTCTCCTGTAGCTCTTCGGATGAGGTCGGAAGTGGTAAGAGCCAGGATTGTGCGGTTCTTCGAAAGAGAGTTGATCGCCTGGCGATAAAGAATAAAGTATCTCTTCGTTCCATTCCATCTTGAGTATCTGATGAATATAAAAGAGACGGAAACATCTTGCCCGTTCCGTATCGTTTGCCCAACTGAGACAACAAAACCTCCCGCAAAGCTCATAGAAACATTTGGTAACTTTTTGGTTAGTAGATCCCATTTTTTACACAGCATACCGTTGAGAAAATTGTTGCGGAAGGTTGCAGTGTAATTTTTTTTTATATTCCAACACAAAATTCGTGTAAAGTGCCTTTCCCAAGGACACAAGATCGGTGGCATGTCAGGACTCGAACCCGGGACCTCTTGGTTCAGAGTCGAGCACTCTGCCGCTACGCCATACGACCCCACATGTGCATTCATGCCTGTATGACTATGAATGCAGTTCTATGTAGTTTGCTAACGCTTAATTGTTACCATTGGCCTTCAGACTTCAATTCTGCACCACTGGACGTGGGACGTGCACGTTGCCCAGCTGCCCTTGTTAGGAGCACCGATCGACTGCAAAGATTTATGGAATGACAGTAACGCACAGGTTTGTGGACCTCGGGCTCAGTAAACGTCTTTTTCATTATTGACCGGTGCAGGTAATTGGAATTGGCGCCGTTTTATCAGCAGAATATAAACCGATATTGCCTACAATTGGTCACCATTAAACGGCCGTTAACGTAGTGTAGATCTTTAGAATCCTGATTGGATTGGGAATAAAAACGGAGTCTTGTTCGTAAAAAAACCGTGCGCGCGGGTCATATCGGTTAGTTTTAGGCAAACAAAACTACATCCTTTACATTGAATTCTATCCTTCATAGAGAGTTTATTGCAAATTCATGCCAGAGGGCTAATTGCAAGAACATGATAACAAATAGACAGTAAAAAATGATAATAAATAATGCTAATGCTACTTTGGATAAAGTTATTGTTGGGTTTTATTTCTTTATAGTATGTTAACTAAAATCTTTGATTTTTCTCGAACATTACTTCTTTTTATCAATCCAAATCATAAATTTGTATTTAATGATGAACTTATATGCGATCCAGCCTGGATATGCGCCCGGTTCTCCTGCACAGCCTGAAGGCTGAAACAGTAAGACAGCGTGCCATGACGCACTTAAAATACTGATGGACCAGCCTAGGTGGTGTAGCAACAGCCTGGTATGTGCACATTGAT